CTCCTTTGGGAGATGGTTTAAGCAGACTCAGTTGCTGTATTAGCACATTTTAATCACCACAGGGGAAAATGATTTAGGACAACAGCAGAGAGCCAAATCTGATCTAGAAGTTGAAAATACAAAGGTCAAACAGGCTACAAGTCCATCATCACTGAGGATATAGAGAATTTTCATTAGTAAAGGTTGGTCAGAGTCCCCGGAAGTGCCCCTCTTATTCCCCGATTGAGCCTTACACTTTAGTTTTTGGTTGATGGCTGTGCTGTCTGGGCTGTGAGGCTGTACCAGTCTCCATGTCAAAGCAAAGCCCACGTGGCCCACCTCTAAGAGTCCTTAAGATGGAGATAACATATGATGTCAAGGGGAAGGAGGGAGATAGGACATATTTATAATAGGTGTGTAGAAAACAAGGGATATATAAAATGAAAGATATTTACTTATATATATTTTAAGATTACACACAATATATACCACGAGACATGGAATTCATTGGTTGTAGCAATTAAAGCAGTCCCAGCCCTCAGTGCTTTGCAGGTAAAAGATCAGATAGAGCTACTTCTAAGAGAAGCAGCATCACCCCAAATGTCCCAACCCACAGGACTTCAACCTGGGGCAAGAGAGTCAGGGATAGGGAATGGGGACAAGACACACAGAAAGAATGACCACAAGACAGGATTCTGATCAAGTGGCAAACTATTTTTCTCAAGCTAGCTAATATAATCGGTAGAGCATGAAATGGGCAGGGGTAGAATGGGTTGTTTGTGCACAAGGTTTTATTGTAGGCAGGATATTTGGAAGCCAAAAATAGAATGTTTGGCAGGGTAAAGTGTTCATGAGTACGAGGTCCAGGAAGGTTTTCCAAGGTAACTGAGCCTGTGGGTGGAGGACTAGGTCAAGTTGTTTCTTTTCTTGAGCTGAGGCTCTAAGGAACTGTTATGTAAAGAATAATATACAATAATGTGGCTGGCCAAGCATGGCCTAGGATCTCATGCCAGGCCCTGATATCTTTGGCTCCAAAGTGTAGCGCCTGCATTACAACATTTCCATAGTATAGGGCTAGGGACTTGAGGATTTAATTAAAGACAAGACAACAGGTCTTTCTTCCAGGGAGAAGCCCTTTATTCCAACAAGAGTGGGGGCTTATATACCAGTCAGCAGGCATGGTGGAAAACTACCCAAATCACAAGTTCAGGTTCCCAGGTCCATGAGGCAATCCTGAATGGGCAAATAACAGGATAACAGGAATTTGCACTCAGGTCTTCAAGGAAGGAAGAAAACAGGATGTACTTGCTAGGAAGCTCCTAGTCACAAGCTGGTCAGCAGACCCCTATGGGAGAAGGGCCCAACAAGTCCCCCTCACTTTTGTATATACATATTAAATGCGAGTCTGTCTTAGGTCACCCAGTATATCAACATCTGCTTTACCCATCATTGAAAAGCCTGTCCATGCCCCTCAGATCCTCTGGCTTAGGTTAGCAGACATTCCCTAAGTCTTACCCTGTCATTGACTGCTCACTTGTCCTGCAGGCCCAGCAGACCAGGCGTTATCTGCTGCCAAGGAAAGCATGATATGCTTGGTTTAAAAATGACACTGGGTTTGCCACTATCCTATGTGGCAAAGGCAGACTGGGGCTAAATTGGCACTGCCCAGGGCTATAATTCTGAGGGCCAGCAGCCTACTCCATTCCTTAGTTAATTGGCCTGTTGGCTGCAGTCCCTTTAAGAGGGTGTCTCCTGAAAGGGGAGGCACCCTGGTCTTAATAATTAGAGTAGCCAATTGAGTTGTGTGAAGATTTAAAGTGCCCAATTGTACTAAAGAATTGATATTATTTTGGGAATTTTAAGGCAGAGGCAACCTCCCCTGAGAGCTTATCCAGCATGCCTGCTGTGGCAACTGAGTGAAAGATAGTGATGTCAGAAGCTGTAGCAGCAATGACAGTGGCTGCTGTGATGTGAGGATGAGCTGGTTCTCTCCCAAGTATTCCAACGGCAGAGGCATAGTACCTATAGTACCAGGAACTCAACCACCAAGGCTGGACTCTCACCACTCCAACAGCTTCTCAAACGGCATTCCTGGAGGGAACAAATAAGCACTTCTCCCAAGGGAGTGTTATCATATGATAGAAGAACACACATTGAAAATTGTCTGACAGCTGCCTTTCCCAGACTATGGTTGGAGCTGACCATCACTGTCCACACTTGACTCCAAAGACCCACCAGCACCAGAACAGGCTGGCTCCTCACAAAAGCCCAATGGGTCTTTTGATGACTGAAGTGTATCAGCAGGAACAGGGCGCACACAATGCTCTGGGACCCAAATTGGGGACTCACTATCATGTGGGAAGATGCAAACAGACCCTCGGGCCAAAACTGGATCTGGCCCTTTCCAAAGGCCCGGGGGGGAGATCTCTCCATTTAACCAGAGGTTTTTGCTGTGCAGAGGACAGCCAATGTCGGTCTGCTGCAGAAAGCATCCACAATTTAAAAATTTAAGATATAAAGGATAAGTGATAGAGTGAAGGGAACCAAGGTGACCCTAAAGGTCCCCCTTCTTTACTTTAGCCAAATAGGTTTTCAAAGTGTGATGGGCGTGCTCCACAATAGCCTGTCCTTGGGGATTGTAAGGAATACCAGTCTTTAAAGTAATCTCCAAGTCTTGATAAAAATGATTGAAATCTCTGCTGACATACGAAGGGCCATTATCAGTCTTGAGCTCAAAGTGCATTGGCTGATGCTGGCAGCAGGGCCGACGACTGGGACCCCTCTTCCCAGGCTGGTGGCAAGAGAGCTTGTGGCCAAGAGCTATGTGAAAAACCAGTCTTATCCAAACTCATCTCGGATCTGGCCACAGCTAGTGTGGGGTGGTGTAGGCAACGAGGGAGTTGAGAAGGAGGGGGAGAGCAGCACCCCTTGATAAAGGTGGGGAGA